GGGGTACCGCCGTGACGTTGGAAGCAGTCCGATGACGTGGAGGCTGCCAAAACCGGTGACCCTGCATCGCGGCAGCGCGCCCTGTCGCAGAAGTAACTGCGTGTCGTTACCGTTGGGCCCGTGTGTGTGATCTCGGGTATTTCGGAGCACGGGACCTGAAAACGCCTTCAGCTCCTGTGCTGTTTGGTGGCGATGGGGAAGCAAGGACATAGGTGGTTACCCCCACTTGTTTTGGTTAGAGCCTTGCGGAAACTGAACAGAAGGATGGGTCGACTCTCATCCTCAACTCTAACGTTAGTTTTATTGGCTAATTTTTGTCAAAGCGTAAGAACAGCCATTTTACAAGAGCTGGCTGGCTGGAGGAGAGCAGCATTCGTTCCCTCTGTATACTTTTTGGAGAGAGACTCTTGCAATCAAATGAAAAACTGGAAAAGCAACACAGGGAAGTGCTTTCAGAGCTTACCAGGGGAGCACGTATAAGTTTCTTAAACTTGACTGTGCCGGTATGCGGTTGCTAACGCAGCGTGTGAGAAAGTGGCATTTCTTCAGGCATCGAGCCCAACTCCCTAGTGGCATAAATTCAGAAAACGCGTAAATGGCAACGCGGCATACTTTGGACTTGGCGTTTGTAGATACACAGCTTAACATCACGTTCACAAAACTCTTCTAAGTACATCGTCTGCTGTGCGAGCAAACATGGCAATTGCATTTAGCCTTTCAGACTTTGACTCGGTTGTTACATAAGGGTATGACGAATGAAATAGCGAAGAACAGTAAGATTTTCTTTTGTTTGTTTACTTCTGAGTATATGGCAGCTTTTAATATATCTAACGTCCTCATTTTCTTGGCTGGGTACCTCTCTGCCTTTGCATTGATACTTTTAGAGTACATCTGAGAGCTGGGGCTCCCGCTCACGTTTTCCTGTAGGTTGTACGTGAAAGAGTTGACAAGCAAGATAAAATGTAAGGGGCGTTGTGAAGAGAAAGCTTACCTTTTGTTGAACATCACTAGCAAGGTGAAGATCGTGAAACCTTACGGAATTGAACCTACGAATGAATTAGAGTATGCAGATACAGGGACAGAACTGGCATTCGTAGCACAGAATGGAGAACGATGTGTTTTGGACTTCTGCACCCTGTCTGATTTGGTGTAGAATTAACGTGAGCTTAAAAAAATAAATTCAAGTTCACTTCTCTCGCAGTTGCGCTCTGCGCTTCCTAGAAGACGAGATGTTATGGCGAGGATGGGATTGAGTTGCGTGCAGGGGCTTGGCGTGGCTTCTGTGCCTGCTCCGTGCCTCGCGGCTGGGGGCAGCTGGGAGACGGGAAGCCCGCGGCGTGGAGGGAGCCGAGGGAGACGCAGCCTCTGCCGCTGCCTCACGGCGATCCTTGCTTTTTCTGTTGGCTTCCACTTGCGAACCACGCCTAGCCCTCTGCTCTCTGAGATACACGACTTTGGGGCATCTGCTGGGCCTTGGCCGGAGAAGGATTTCTGGTTTGCAGTTTGTACCGTCACGGGGCTTGGAAACTGCAGACTAAATAGCTGCTCAGTAACACAAGCTCCGTGGTCGTCTTGTCGTATTCAAAATACTCTTTTCAGTTCCCTCCAGAGAAGTGGTAAAATCTATGAAACATTTAGATTGGCGCATGTGTATGCTTTAATTAATTCTGCTGGGAATTTCCACAGCTGTCATTGCTGAAGACTCGTTTTAAATAGAATGTTTACTATAAATCTTTAGTTAGTGCTTCAGGAATCCCATGAAACCAACAGGAGAATTGAAACTCTTTGGTAACAGAACACCCACCGTTTAGAAAAAATGCTTATATCGATGCTTCCCATTTTTACTAAAAATCCGTATTTAGCTTTTTTCCCTTGCTTGCAGACTCCTTGCCAGTGTAACTTCTGTAGAAATTTTGTAGCTGAGCCCCTTTCACTTGAGGATATGCTGAAGCCGAGTAAGTTACCGTGGCTGTGACCACGACAAAAATAATGGGCAGCTGCTCTAAGTTCCGGCCTTTGCAGCTTGGAAGAGAGTGATCCGTGTATCAACAACTTGGTTTTTCAGTTGATCGAACCGTGTTAGAATTTTCTCATTTATGGGAGCCAGTTCATTTGCCTGCAGCTGAAAAAAAGGGTGACTGAAACAGCTCCTGCCCCGCTGGGCTGTGTCCTCCCCCAGCTCCGGCAGAGCGGCTAAAATTTTCAGCCCTCAGCTGCTGGAGTTTGCTGGATAGACATAAAAGCCGGAGGAAGGTGAACGGCAGGGGAGGACTGCCTAAGCTCCCGCGGTTGAAGCTGTTGTCAAGTATCTGTTTTCCCGCGATTGTGCAAATTCTGTGGGCCGAGGCGTTTGAGAGACGATTGTCACACCTGCAGAAAGCTTTATCTACGTTTAGAAAACTTGCATCGGTGTAGGGTCTTAGGGGTGGTTTTTTTTGTCCACCTTTATAGTGAAGTAGAGCAGATGGTTCTTCATATGATGCTCTTCCTCCTCTGTTAAAGAGGAAGAGAAACTATTAAGAAATTTTTTTTCATTGTGTTTTAGGAACACTTCAAGAATGAGTCCACCACAAGATAGAAGTAGAAATTCCTGCAGCAGCGAGCCTCTGGCAAAGTGCCTTCAAGCAAAGAAGGACTTGGAAACAGCTATATCTGGAATCGTCAAAGCTGAACAACAGATTAAAGAGAACTGGCGGGAGGTAATTTAAAATTCTTTTTTAAAAAAAGTTTTAATAACTAACGTGACTTTAATGACAGCTTTTATTATTCCAGAGCACTTTCTATTATGACGGTGGTCTGAAATTTTCCTAGAGACTTGCAAGCATCTTGCTGTGTGATTTGGTGTCGTGGTTTAACCCCGGCCGGCAACTGAGCCCCACCCAGCCGCTCGCTCACTCCCCCCCAGTGGGATGGGGGAGAGAATTGGAAGGGTGAAAGTGAGAAAACTCGTAGGCTGAGATCAAGACAGTTTAACAGGGAAAGCAAAAGCCGCGCACGCAGGCAAAGCAGAACAAGGCATTCATTCACTGCTTCCCATGGGCAGGCAGGTGTTCAGCCATCTCCAGGACAGCAGGGCTCCATCACGCCTAACGGTGACTTGGGGAGACAAACGCCATCGCTCCCAACGTCCCCCCCTTCCTCCTTCTTCCCCCCGTTTATGCACTGAGCATGACGTCCCATGGTATGGAATGTCCCTCTGGCCAGTTTGGGTCAGCTGTCCTGGCTGTGCCCCCTCCCAGCTTCTTGTGCCCCTCCAGCCTGCTCAGTCGGTAGAGCATGGGAAGATGAAAAGCCCTTGCCTAGTGTAAGCACTGCTCAGCAACAACTAAAACATCGGTGTGTTATCAACATTGTTCTCACCCTAAATCCAAAACACAGCCCTGTACCAGCTGCTAGGAAGGAAATTAACTCTATCCCAGCCGGAACCAGGACATTTGGTCATGCTCTTAGTAATACAGGAATACCTTTACCAGCTCAGGCACACAGGATTTACTAGAGCTGTTGGCTGAAACGTCAGGATAGAGAGATACTGCAAATAACATTGTTCTTTGATACTTCTTTAAAGGTAGCCTTGGAACTTTTACTGAGTCATGTGGTACCGCGGGTGACTGTGGTTAGTTTTTGAGAAATAAATTACTCCAAAAACACCACTTATCTGTGACAAACATTATTTTGTAATCGGCGCAGCACAGGCTTGTTCGTACTCTTTGACGGATGTTCTAGAAATGGCACATGTTACCCCTACAGGTAAAAGCCAAGATTCACAGCCACATTAGCCGGCACCTGGAATGCCTGCGCAGTCGTGAAGTTTGGCTGTTTGAGCAGGTAGACCTCATTCAGCAGCTGAAAGAGGAGGCGTTGCAGCAGCAGGCGCAGCAGCTCTACTGGGTAAGGTTTGGTTGTAAATTCTTGCACTGGCGTTTTTAAGTAAACGGTGCCCTTGCAGGTGTTTTCTCAACTTTAATCTTAGAAGCCAAAACAATAACGTGTGTTTTGTTTTCCGTGCAGTATTTGGGACAATTCAATTGCCTTATTCACCAGCTGGAACGCTCCTATAGTAACGAACTAGCAAACCAGATTTCAGTTTGCCTGGAGAGGTAAATATATTTTATGATGCAAGTTAACACAACTGGTATTTATTTTGGCTTAGGAATTTATTCTGATTTTTTTTTTTTATTCTAATAGAACTAACAATAGATCTAACGCACTGTTTCCTCATTTTCAGTGGTTCCTAGAAATAAGATCTTTAAAGCAGTCTGAGATATGATTCTTCTTATCTTTTTTATCTTAGATTGAAAAAACAGGACTATAACAAGCAGTGGAGGTACTCACTTGTGTGGATTATTTCAAATATTAGTTGTTGATGGCAATTGAAGTAAGAAGGAGAAACTTGTGTTTTGCTGCTGTTTATTCTGTTCTTGGTTTGTGGAGAGGCATCTCGTTATTTTTATGCAAGTATTAAAAGCCTTTCTGGTACCTAATTAGTGCCCAGTCAGTTTGGAAGCCTTTTTATGAAATAACGGATTGATTCCCGAAACACGACAGCTGAAGAAGATTGTAATTTTTTTTTTTTCTTTCTGTAACTGCCATCTTAATCTTTCAGACTGGCAAGTCTTACTCTTAAACCAGAGGAGTCTTCCATCCTGAATTTTGAGGCTGACACGTCTTACCTTCGCCAGGCTATTACCTCGTTTGGTTCAATTAAGACGATGGTAAGCACCAAGACTTTCCTGGGTCGGAATATTTGGAAAAAAAATCTTTTTCTGAGGCAGTAGGTGCGGTATATGCCAAGTGACATTTCTACTTCTAGTTGTACACAAGATCCATTCAAGCTGTGAGTCGTATAGTTTTAGCTGTATAAAATACACACGGTGGTTTATTAACTATTGCACGTAGTTGTGATTTTGACCAAGCTTAGATCTAGTTACGTACGCGTTATTTTAACGTATTTTGGCCGAGACTGAGGGAATGGTGATTATATTCTTACTCTGTTCCAGCAGCTGAAAATTAATGTTACGGTTTTCTTTAGATATTGCTAGTTATGCATCATAGATGGCTTTCTGTGATATAAATATTTCGGGATTCTTATGTAAGCAGCGTATCTCCTGTATTATTGGAGATAATTCTCTTAAAGGAAGTGGACTGAAGGGAGTACTTCTATAGTAAATCTTTCTCCATTCTGTTTTTTAAATGTTGAGAAAATCGTTAGCCACAAAGAACTGACCAGTTGTAACCGCGCTTTACTTCTGCTTTATT